TTAAAAAAAAAAAAAAAAAAAAAAATTAGTATTTTGTAATTAATTATTAATTAATATATAATAACAACAGAACCTAAAGGAAAATAATACAAATTGCTATACAAAAATATTGTTAATATATAAAAAAAACAAATTTAATGCCACTAATTGTTATAAAATGTCGACAGATAAATTCATTTGTCACATTAACCTTGGGCATTTGCTTAGTATACAAAATATAACATTATTAGTAGGGCCTCAATCCCTTATTGCTATATTGTGAGGCATATGCCTAGGGGGGCCCCAATTCCCGGAAGGGGGGTTGGAGAATTGGAAAACAAAGGAATTTTACCGATGTAATTGTATATCATAATTTATAGAGTTATAAAGAGAGGCCCCAGTCGTAATGATTGGGGGGGGGTCCTCCGGAAGATCTTAATCTATCAGTGGATATTAATTTGTAGAAAAAAAAAATCAGGTGCTTTTTTTTTGCAGTAAATTAACGTCTTACAGGGTTACATTATAGACATCATCTCGATTCTTCCAATTAACCTTCTTGGTGAAATATTATCGACCACTTTGTAACGTGTTGCTATAGCAACATGTTACCTTTTACAGTGCTATCTTTTCTACTTTACGAAAGCAGCAGAATGTAACACAGTTCTTGACATTAACTGTATAAAGTGCGACGTTCTTTAAGTAGATAATTGAAGTTAATTTATTTAATTATAATAATATAATATTTTAAATTTTAAAAATTATTTAAATATACTTACTTTTTTAAAAAATATACATATATATATTTTAATGATTATTATTAAATCAATAATTTAGCTCTTAAGATGATTGATAAGCTAACGAGGCCTTATACATTTGGTATTAAAGTTAAAAGATAATTAATTAATTGAGAAAATTATATTATGAAATAATGAATTTATAAGAAAATCGAGTCGAACCTGCAACGATGATCACCTGTAAACAACGGCCACCTCCGATAAACGGACACTCATGTTCCCATCAGTGGTCGTTGTTCGGAGGTTTGACTGTATACACGTATATATTACAATAAAGAAATGATGTAAGAAAGTATTATAGTCCTAAGAGGGTCTTTTTTTATGCCTTCGTGGGTTCGGATCCATTAAGATCAGGGTGGTCAGGAGAGAAGAGCTGGGGGCCCTTAGCGGTTCCTATCCGAATAAAATAATTAAACGCCGTTTAAAAAATTTTAAGTTAATCAAAAATAAAATAAAATAAGCAAAAGGAGGGCCCCATTCTACTCCTAGGCCTCATAAAAGCCAGTAGACACGGCCATACCTATTGCCAACAGAAGTTTCTGGGGTTTTACTATCACCCGGATTCGATTCCTGATCCTCCAGCGCAGTAAAACTAATGTCTCAACCTCAAGATTGTTGAGGTTTTCGATCGCTGGATTTGATCCTGAGTTCCCCAGAGTGATAGAACTAAAGCCTCAACCTCCTCAGTCATCTATCCATCACGTAAGAACAATAGAATTATACAGGAAAGCATAGTACAATATAGAAAAAAAATTTACACGAAAAGCAAATATCTTCCTTTTTTTTAGTATCTGTGAAGCATAAAATGCTTTATTATTTTATGGAAAAATATATAATTTAATAGATTATTTTCTTAATTTAAATCTTATCTAATTGTATAAAAAAACCTAACATAGTTCCCCTTTCTTATCTACAAATTCAATAAACAAACTAAATTTATAAAAAAAAGAGCAAAAATACATTTGTAATTTTATTTCTTTAATTTTTTTCCGTTTCCATCAAATTTCTATTGAATTTTTCTTTAAAAACAAGCGAGTTCAACGTCACACTGCTGCTTCTGCTACTGCTGCTGGGGGGTTGAAGTTGTTAAGAGATCTTTTTTTTACTCACCAATTATCAAGTATTTCCTTTGGCATCAATTTAACTGTAGTGATTACTTGATACTACTGAATCGGAAGATTTCCTATCCTCAAGGTAAAAGTATTTTCCATGTGTGTTTAAATGTACAAATAATTGGTATCCCTGCTATGATTTAAACACGGTTAATAAAGAATAATCATATTAACTTGTTAAAAAATTTTATATAAAAGAATTCTGTCGTGTATTTTTTTGAGCCAATTGATCTTATCAAAAATTAAATATTGCTCTCTCTCTTTGTCTTTTTTTTTACTGTTATAATTTTAAGACTTTCATAATTTCATGTGGCACGAAATCTCATGACGTGACACGAGGGTATATTGATGCCTGGTATCAAAATAATATGGGGAATTTATCACGCAAGCTACAGAAAATAGTACACCAAAGTAACAAGCTTTGTATAAAAGAAGAAAATAAAATAAAGTTATTGAACTACATTTACATTTGACATTAAAATTCGAGTTGAGATTATAAGGTTTTCATTTTTCATTTATTTATTTTTTTTATTAAAAAATTCGATATTAAATACCATAATATCATCATTCTTTAAAGATTTTTCTTTAATTTACACACACTTTTATATTAAAATTTAGATTAAAAACAAGAGAAATTGATGATTTTTCTAACGTAGTGAACACCAAGATGAAGTAGAGAAAAGGATTTAAGAGGTAGAAAATAAGAATATTCGCTTGTTTTTATATATATAAAAACAATATATTTATTTAATTACTTATTAAATTTATCAATTTAAACATTATATTATGATTTATAATGATTCTATAATTAAATACAATTGAACAGAAATGGGGCAAGTATATATTGAACAATAAATTATATATATTATCTATATATTCTTATACATCAGAGTCGAGATATTTTATCGATAGAACATCAAACAGAAGTATCTTAACACAAATCTGATTTATCATAGAGCTTAATGTCACACTGCTTTCCTATCTACCAACAAGATGTCATCGATGTAAGCCATAATGACAAAAGGCAGTTTCCTGATATATAAAAGAGGATATTATTCGCATATTATATTGTAAAAAGGGGTAAATTTATAACTTTTTCTTCAAATATAGTTGGTAATTAAATTGAAAAAAGTCATATAATTCACTATAATAAAGCATTAAAGATTGATCATTACGTAGCTCCTTTAAATGTCTCTTCTCCTCAAGACATTTGATTCTTTTTTTTTCTTAATTTTCTTTAATTATATTATTTAAAAATTGATTGATTTATTTAAAAAAACATATAAAATTAAATAATTACCATCTCAACGGATCCATAATGTCTGCGACTGAATACACCTCTTCTAGCAGTAAGATCAGCGGAAGAGGAACTAGAAAAAATAATAATTTAAATGTTAAAAAGAATAGAAAAATGGCGTAAATTTTATTAAATAAATTTACATTTTTAAATATAATTTTTATACATTAATTAATTTATATAATTATATAAATTAATTAATGTATAAAAATTATATTTAAAAATGTAAATTTATTTAATAAAATTTACGCCATTTTTCTATTCTTTTTAACATTTAAATTATTATTTTTTCTAGTTCCTCTTCCGCTGATCTTACTGCTAGAAGAGGTGTATTCAGTCGCAGACATTATGGATCCGTTGAGATGGTAATTATTTAATTTTATATGTTTTTTTAAATAAATCAATCAATTTTTAAATAATATAATTAAAGAAAATTAAGAAAAAAAAAGAAATCANCGAATAATATATTTATTCGAGTATAATAATAATTTCTTATGTGAAAATTTTAATTTATTGCAAAAAATATCCTGAAAAAGTTATTTTTTTTTTAATGGAAAAAAGATGTGAAAGTTCAATTATTGAATAGGAAAAAAGCCATTTTTTTCTCGATTGAAGTGATAAAATGAAATAAATTCTTTTTTTTACAGCGATAAAATTTTATTTTCTAAGTTATTCCCAACAGTTAGAAAGTAAAAGAAAAGAATTTATACAGATACATTCTTATATAATACAGTAATAACAATTTTACTACGATACAAATATAAAAAAAAAATTTTAAATATTAATAATAATTTTATACGTAATATAAAAGAAATTATAATATTCACGAGTTCTTAAAATGGTAAATATACAATAGTACTTTCTCCCTTCGAATCCCATTCAAAAAAATCCGAATCCATTTTCAGAACATCTGAATATTTCTTTAGTAACTTTATGAAATGATTTAAGAGGATATAAATGCAAATATGCTTAAGATAAGACGATAAAGAAGGAATTTTTGTATGTGATAATGAGTTATTGATGAGTGAATAACCTATAAATATATATATATATTCGTTAAAAAGGGTAATCGCCTGGAGCACCCAACAACAGAAAAGTTACAAAATAATCTGTTATTTTCCTAAATAAATTCTAAATTCTATTTAATTTCAATTCGTCTGAGCTTCATGAAGCTACACAACATACTATAACACACCATTGTATCAATACGTTAGAATAATGAATGATATTGATGTGTCCATAGCTTTAATTTCAAAATGTCCGCTTAATTATCACTTTTTAAACGTTTAAATATGTATATTTAAGTCTTAAAAATATATTTTTAAGCTTTATAATGTTATATTTTCTTGGAAATTGATCTGACAATAATAATAATAATAATAATTTCTTTGAAGAGCGAACTAGTCGATTGCTTTCAAAGAAAGTGACTTTAAAACGATAATTTCTTGACAAGTGATCTTATAATATACTTTCTGAGAGAGTAATTTCCATGGTTTTTTTCTATATAAAGTGTTTTTTTTATAACAGCAATTGTTCCAAACGCATTTTTACCAAATTACAATTGCTTTTTCTGAAGTGATTTATAATGCATTTTTTCTGGAAAAATAATCATATAATTGTATTTGTGGAAGGTGATATTATAATATTTTCTAATGGAAAATACGGCAGAACCTGTGAACAACGGCCACTGAGTGAAAAATTAAGAAATGGCCGTTGTTTGGAGGTTATTTTGTGTGCATTTTTTGTTCAAAGTTCCCGACAAAGTGGTCGCAGTTTACAGGTGGAGAATGGACCGTATAATGTTTTAATCGAAAAATTTTATATGATTAATATTATACATGTTATAATAGCTTCTGAATACAACTACAGTAAAACCTGTGTAAGCCGGAATCTCACGGTATTGAATATTTTTCCCTGTTTTCGTTTTGAAGAAGTTTTTCTTTAACATAAGATAATCGCTCCTATCTTCCGTTTAGGTAGGTTGTCCGTTTTGGACAGGTTTTATTGTATATACAAGAAATTATAATACTATGTTTTACGGTAAAAACACCCCCAAAAATTGTCTTATACTTGAATTGCATCTACCACAGGCTAACGAATCCCTCAAACTGCCTTCAACGAACAGTAACCTCTCTACTTGGTCCAATTTCCGAATTAAGATGTTAATTATAATTATGTTTAATTAGATATTATCATCATTAGGATATAGCTAAGCAGATTTTTCATGTATTCGTGTAGAATATTTTTATTGTAAATTATGTAATTTCGATATTAATGTGTATGCGAGAAATAATTAATAAATAATTAAAAATATTTTTTTAATGAAAAGTTGACGAAACAATTACATTCTCATTATTTGAACAAAATCAATTAACAACTCTTTTATTATCAATATAAGCAAGCGATATAAAAGTATATTTATAGAAGCATCAATTAATTTTTAAAAAAATCTTAATTTGTTCTATTCTTCGATCACAAAGCTTTTGTTTATACTGTCGAACCTACAATAACGGCCACCTCTAAACGGTGGCCATATTTAGGAACGTTGCTTTCAAAAATTCATAGAAAAACCTCCAAACAACGGTCTTATTTTTTAGGAATGTTTCTTTTCGAAATGCACACAAAAACCTCCAAACAACGACCGTTTATTTTCAGGAAAATTTACATTTAAAAAGCATAGAAAAAACCCTAAAAACCTCCAAACAACGACCGTTTTTTTAGCAATATTTACATTTGAAATGCATAGAAAAAAAATCCTAAAAACCTCCAAACAACGACCGTTTTTCCAGCAATATTTACATTTGAAATGCATAGAAAAAAAATCCTAAAAACCTCCAAACGACGGCCTTATTTTTCAGGAATATTTACATTTGAAATGCATACAAAAACCTCCAAAGAACGACAGTTCTTCATAAATCCCCGAGTGGCCGTTGTTCACAGGTTTATCCGTATTAATAATTCCTAATATAATAAATCGATTTTCATTAAAAATTTAATTATAAATTTAAACTTTTAAACGTAAAAGAAGGCGTTGTAAAGTACCAAACTTCAGAAATTATGAATGAGACGTAACCAATTCATCACGTTTTATTTTGACATTAAACACGAAACGGCACTACGATGTACGTCAAATTATAATAAACATTAAACATTCATTAAGTATTATTATATACATGTTTAAACATAAAATAAATAATTTAAACTTCAAGTTTATTCGAGATACGTTGAGAAAATCTGACGTTTAATTAAGTAACACGTGACTCGGACATACAGACAGACAGTTCGATCCTTTCCAGAGGTTAATACATCAGTAGATACTTAACTGACTACAGAGCATGATAAATAATAAATAATATATATTTTTTTTATTTAGAAAAATAATAATAAAGTAACATTATACGTGAAATATTTTAAAGTGTATATAGTTCTACACTTTGTAACTAGACGTAAATTGGGCAATAAATAGAAAAAAAAAGCAAGGGGTGTAATGGTTGAATTATTTATGACATACTCTCGTGTTATAGATGCTTGTTAACGTGTAAAAAAACACCTATAGAATATGAAAAGAATATAAAAATATACTTTTTAACCTTGTATAAGTGTTAGTTATACTAAGAACTGAATACAAAGTATGAGTCGTATAATAATACTCTTCTTTTATGAAGTGATTTATGGACACATCACGTGAGAAGGGCAATATATTGCTGCAAAGCCAGAAAAAAAAGGATATTTGTAGTCAATGAAGTCACTTTTATTACGTAAAAATAATAATAATAATGCAAATATTTACCTTTCTAAGGTAGGTATAATAATACTTTACTTTTTAATTTTCTTTGTGATTGACAAGGCTAATATAGAAAGTGGATAAGTTACTTCAAACTTATGTAACTAGCTACTAGTTACTGTGAAAAACTAGTTGCTAGTTTAATTAATTACTGTTAATAGTTATTTATTTATTAATAATTTATAAGTAAATTTTTTAAAGATTATTTGGAAGACGAGGCATAAAATAATTGAATAAAAAAGTAATTTATAAGGTATAATTAATTAATTCGTTAAAAGTAACATTAAAATTTCAAGAATTCCTCTAGAGGCTGGATAGATTTTTAACAATCATGAAGAGTGCTGTTTGGTAGAAAAGAGCGGAGGTGATCCATGTCTGGAACAACATTCCTTTTAACCTCATCCGATGGGAGACACTAAAACCGTACATTACTTCTAACAGGAGCATTTTTCACATTTAGATCCGACAGTTATCGTTGCTGTCACACAATCGACCCCTTACACAACACTCACTAAATCTCTTCTCGCTATTCAATATTACAACTGAACAGTATACTTCCAAAGTATTTTTTTTTACTGTGCACTTAGTTCTTATACTAGGGCTTTTTAGTAAGATATACTCTGAAATACTAGGACTTATTAGTAAGATATACCCTGAAATACTAGGACTTCTTAGTAAGATATACTCTGAAATACTAGGACGTCTTAGTAAGATATACTCTGAAATACCAGGACTTCTTAGTAAGATATATTCTGAAATACCAGGACTTCTTAGTAAGATATACTCTGAAATACCAGAACTTCTTAGTAAGATATACTCTGAAATACCAGGACGTCTTAGTAAGATATATTCTGAAATACTAGGACTTCTTAGTAAGATATACTCTGAAATACTAGGACTTCTTAGTAAGATATACTCTGAAATACCAGGNAATAATAATAATAATAATAAAACATCATCTGTATGGTACAAGTGCAGTTTAAATGTTTACTTAAATTTAAATACTATAAAGGAAATAAAAAAATTTATTATCGATGCCAGCTGTTTTTATTTTCAATAAATATATATTTATAATTATTATATTTAAAATTTAAACTATATAATGGTCTTTACTTAAAGAGGTTAAAAAGTCAATTATTACACAGCTGGCGACTGAACCAATTGAAAGTATTTAATGGATCTCGTCGTAATTTTTTGAAAAATTTAATTTCTGGTAAAAACTAACGTAATTTGTCATATTTAAATTCTTATATAAATATATTACACACGTTTCGAATTAATGCACATTA